GGGGTAAGACGGGGAGGGCGGCGGGGAGGGGGCGGGGCGCGGGGAGGGCGGGGGGCGCGGGGACCCGGGGGGCGCGGGGACCCGGAGGGCGCGGGGACCCTGGTGGGCGCGGGGGGCGCGGGGACCCCGGGTGGGCAGGAGACTGTCCCCCCTTCCCCCTTCCCTCGCGACCTGGCTGTCATCGGCTCCGGCCATGACATCACCGGGCCGCGCTCTCATTGGCCGCCTGGCCGCAGGGGGCGGGGCCCGCCGGCCGCATCAGCACCGCCGCGGTGGACAGAGCGCGGTGGCGGCCGGACCCGCGCGCGGACGACCGGCTTCGGGGGCTGCGGCCACGGCTGGAGGGGGACGGGGCCGCGGCGGGGCGGGGCGGGGCGGGGCGCGGGGGAGGCAGGGCACGCGCACGCGTGCTCGCCGCGGCCGCCACGCGCGCTCCCCCCCCCCCCCCCCCCCCCCCCCCCCGCCCGTCCTCCCCCCCCGCCACCGGCCCCCCCCCCCACCTCTCCTCCCACCCCTCCTCCCAACCGTCCTCCCACCCACCCCATTACCCCATCCCCTCCTCCCACCTATCCTCCCACCCGTCCTCCCACCCTACTACCCCATCCCGTCCTCCCACCCCCTCCTCCCACCCACCCCACTACCTCATCCCGTCCTCCCTCCCCGTCTCACCCCCAGCCCCCGCCCCGCGCCCCAGACGCCGCCGCATCCGGGAACGCTTCTGCGCGCCCCGTGCCGGCCCGCGACAGCCGCCAGGGGGCGCCGGAGGCCGCCGCTCGGGCCGCGCTGTCTGGGGAGGGCCGGGGGGGAGGGGAAGCAGCAGCTCGGAAGAGTCTCGCCAGCTGGCACAGTGCCCTCGCCCTCGGGGCCGTCGCCCACAGTGCCCAGCTCCACCGTCTTCAGCGAGCGACTCCAGCCCGTGGAGTGGAGATTGCTGGGGTGTCAGCCAGCGCACAAGCGTCCCCAAACAGGGTGGCTAACCCCTGGGTCACAGCCCTGCCCCGTTTAAGGCCATTGGAAACACACACGCACACACACACACACACACACACACACACACTCACACTCACATTGTGTCTCCATCCTACTGGCCAAAGTGTAACACTGCGGTGATAATTGCTACAAAAGAGGTCAAGAGGTCACATCTACAATGTGACTGTATTTAAAACATTTCAGTGACATTCTATCATCTGCCTATTTGCCATCTATCATCTGTGTATCTGTGTATCTATCTCTCATCTATGTGTACCTATCATCCATCTGTGTAACTATCTATCATCCATGTATCATGCACCTGTGTCTCTGTGTGTCTATGTATCTGCGTATCTGTCTATCTTGTGTGTCTGTGTGCACAGTCAGAAGACAGTTTGCGGGAATAAGCTGTCTCCTTCTGCCACACGAGCCCCGGAATGAACACAGCCCCCTTGGTGGCAGCCCCCTTTGCGCACCCACTGAGCCATCTTGTCTGCCCTGGGCCGTCCTAGGAGCAGGAAGGCGGGAGAACAGTAGCCATCTGCTGAAAGCTGGGACACCTCCGCTGCCTCTGCCTCCTGGGGTGTCAGCCACATCCGGGATCTTCGGATTGTAAAGATTCCCCTGGGCTTTCGCAGAAGCCACCCCAAGTTCGGAACCCGTGTTCCCTCCCTCTAGGGCGGGTGTGAGAGAAGGAACCTCCAGAGGGCGCTCCTGAGCCGAGAGTGCAGGCCAGCCGTTCTCAGCAGGAGTTTCCCTCTGCGCACTGCGTCCTTCCAGGGCAGGGTAGGAGGGGTGGGCTCCGTCCCTGTTGTTTGCTGGAGGCTGGCAGTGTCCGAAGCAGCCGCTGAGAGACTCCAGAGAATCTCTGTGAGGCACGATGCAGTGGGCAGCCTGAGGCCCAGCAAGGACATGCCTTTCTCTGTCCATTGTTTCCTGTGCCCCTTCAGGTTCTGTTAAAATTCGAGGCTAGGGGCTCATATCAGGAGAACCCTGCCTAGAGTCCCCCAGTGAGGGCTGGGGTGTGTCTCATATCAGGAGAACCCTGCCTAGAATCCCCCAGTGAGGGGCTGGGGTGTGGCTCAGTGGTCACCTGCCTAGAATCCCCCAGTGAGGGGCTGGGTGTGGCTCAGTGGTCACCTGCCTAGAATCCCCCAGTGAGGGGCTGGGTGTGGCTCAGTGGTCACCTGCCTAGAATCCCCCAGTGAGGGGCTGGGTGTGGCTCAGTGGCCACCTGCCTAGAATCCCCCAGTGAGGGGCTGGGGGTGGCTCAGTGGTCACCTGCCTAGAGTCCCCTAGTAAGGGCTGGGGTGTGTCTCATATCAGGAGAACCCTGCCTAGAGTCCCCCAGTGAGGGGCTGGGTGTGGCTCAGTGGTCACCTGCCTAGAGTCCCCCAGTGAGGGCTGGGGTGTGGCTCAGTGGTAGAGCCCCTGCCTAGAATCCCCCAGTGAGGGGCTGGGTGTGGCTCAGTGGTCACCTGCCTAGAGTCCCCCAGTGAGGGGCTAGGTGTGGCTCAGTGGTAGAGCCCCTGCCTAGAATCCCCCAGTGAGGGGCTGGGTGTGGCTCAGTGGTGGAGCCCCTGCCTAGAATCCCCCAGTGAGGGCTGGGGTGTGTCTCAGTGGTAGAGGCCAAGCCTAGAATCCCCCAGTGAGGGGCTGGGTGTGGCTCAGTGGTCACCTGCCTAGAATCCCCCAGTGAGGGGCTGGGGTGTGGTTCACTGGTAGAGCCCCTGCCTAGACTGCCCCAGTGAGGGGCTGGGTGTGGCTCAGTGGTCACCTGCCTAGAATCCCCCAGTGAGGGGCTGGGTGTGGCTCAGTGGTAAGGGTGCTGGCTTTGGCCAAGGATGTGAAAATTCCTGGTTTTATCCCTGCCCAGCCCTTGGGACAAGGAAGGTCTCCTGCCCTACTCCTCCAGGAGAACCTTACCCTCACATGTTTGAAGCCCGGACTTTCTTTCATACAATTGTGAGAGTATCACGTTGGAATATCTTTTTATTTTATTTAAAATATTTTATTTTATCATGGCACAGCGGTGCAGGCCTTTAATCCCAGCACTGGGGAAACAGAGGTAGGAGGATCTCTCTGAGTTCTAGGCCAGCCTGGTCTACAAAGTGAGTCCAGGACAGCCAGGGCTACACAGAGAAACCCTGTATCAAACAATCAAAAAAATTGTTTTTAAACTTTGACATTTATTTTCTTATCACCCCTCCCCTCCTCTGTGTGTGTGTGTGTGTGTTCACAAGCAAGCGATGTCACATTTGTGGCGGTCAGTTGATAAGCTTTGGGAGTGCTCCTCTTCCTTCTGTTCGGGTTCAGGGGCTCTGCACGCTGGGCAGGTGCTTTCCTGTGAGCTCTAACTCCCGTGACCGTGAGCGTCTGTGGTGTGCCCAGGAAGGGCACGGGGATTTCCCCAGGACCCCGGTGCTGCCGCCCGTCCCGCAGCTGGCCCCCTGGTCCCCGACCCACCGGCCGCACCCTCGCCTTCCCAGCGAGGGCCTGTGTGAAATACCCCGGGATCCACGCTCACGGGATCACGCTCACGGTCGCCCCGTGGGTGGGAAGGGGGTGGGCAGGCTGGGGTGTCGAGAGGGGGTGCTGCTGGGCTCCTGCCCCCCGGCCCGCCGCCTCCTCCAGGAAGGACGCGGAAGGAGGGCTTGCTCGGAGCCTCGGCCTTCCGGAGCTGCTGGGCGCCTTTTCTGCTGCGGTGATAGGACAGCTGAGGAGAGACGCCCTCTCGGGAGGCTCCAGACCGCAGCCGCGGGTTCTTCCCGTGACCGGACACCGGGTAGACACCAGCGGACACAGCGTCCGCAGTCCAGAGCTCAGCGTGCTTGCTCAGCGGGGCTGTCCACACTCAGGGCTCGGGCCGGGCCCGGGACTCCGCCCTGGAGGGCTGCGGCCTGGAGGTGACGGCTGGAGCCGGAGGCCGGGGCTGGGAAAGCAGCTCTGGGGCTGGGGTCCTGTCCCTGCGGACCCTGGGGCACCTGCCCTCGAGAGGCCCACACCTGCCGGCACTCAGCTCACACCTGCCGGCACTCAGCTCACACCTGCCAGCTCGAGGCCCACACCTGCCTGCACTCAGCTCACACCTGCCAGCACTCAGCTCACATCTGCCGGCACTCAGCTCACACCTGCCGGCACT